CGGTCACACAGTCAAACCCTTCCGGGTACAGTATAGTGAGAAGACTCACCTCGTGGATACTGAAAGCTAGCAACTCCTGAAATCACTCGTACTCGATCCGCCGAGCTACAAACTCCCTATAATATCATATATCCCTTATTAACACTTTTATCTTCCAAGTTAACTGACCCTAACGAATCACACATGGGTCAACTCTGGTCAACGGTCCACGGTCAACTCGACCGGACTCGGCGAGTACTCTAGCGACTCGGCGAGTCTAGTCGTCCTCCAATCCTCTAAGATTCCCTTTCTACTCGTCGAGTATCCTCCTTGACCCGACGAGTTACTCCTGGAAGAATCGCGGGGCCACCCCGACTCCACTCACCGAGTCTGAAGAACAACTCGACGAGTCCCAGTTATTCTCCAAGCTACTCGCCGAGTCTGTTCATCGGACTCGGCGAGTCCATGCCATGCAGTCGATCAAACTGTTTCCTAAGGTCAGAATTGCTCCGACCATTCATAGGTCTGGCCTTCCTAGACTGGTCCATCACGTAAGGTCCTCATTTCGGTGCTCATGCTACACCCCAAGACTTATAATTTACATATTGACCTAAGGCATAAGGATTTCAATCCAAAACCTTCATCACTTCCCGAAATGCATAGGCATGGGACATTCTGGACCTCCAAAGGTCCCAACAGGGTTACAATCGTTTGGGGGACTAGGGTAACATTCAATATATCCAAAAAGGGTTCCATAAACCCTAATCCTCTAAACACATCACCATAGCAGAGCATACTCGAATTCTTACCTGGATGATGTACTCTCTGTGTCCCCAATCCTCAGAACGTGACTCCCTTGCTGTTCCTTTAGCCAAGCCCTTCTCTTCCTTGCACAACAACTCCTTCAAGATCACCAATGGCCTTTAACCTTGCTCTAGATGCACACAATCGATTTAGGGTTCCTCTCAGAAGGCTAAAACGAACAATGACGGCCAATAAGTCCCTTTTATACGTCCCAAATCTGAACGGCTAGGGTTTTCGCTAAACAGCGCAGACTCGCCGAGTCCATATCTGGACTCGTCGAGTCCAGTCGCGAACCCGCGACCACGTCTGCGATCCTACTCGACGAGTCTGGCTCCAACTCGCCGAGTCCCCTCTTATAACACCCCAAAACACAATTTAAACAATACCTGAGATTCCGGACTGTTACAAATTCTTTTTATAATGAACTTTTGAATCTTGAAAATACATATAAACAAACTTTCTATATTAAGTATCTAACTGAATTTATGATTTTAGAATTGAACAAAAAATTATTCAATAAAAACTTACTTTTTTGGATAGCAACTTACGAGATTATAAAAAATTGAACTATTGAACAATAAAGAAAGGGTAAACAAGATAAAGATGTTTTACTAAATAAGTTGAATAATGTTTTATTAACAAGAAAGCGTGTTTTATTACAATGTCTTCATCCCATATCGATGGTGAGAGTAAACAAGAGAACGTTTCATCTTCTATAAATAGGAAAGGTTGTGAAATGTTTCAAAGGGACCAAACTATGAGAACTTACTTATGCCTACCTTTTTAGGATGTTGATGGTATTCTTTGGTGAGATTGTCTTTATTGGAAACTGTCCATTTAAGTTTTAGAATCCCGAAAATGGTTTTGAAAAAGATTTTTTTAGGTTCAAATAGAGTTTTAGTTGAAAAACCGTTATGCAGTTTGGTATATTAAGGTGAATCGATCTAAGTTTGATCAATTTGGACCGATAAGGAAGCATTTTCCTTTCAGCACATACATTCGAAACTCCCATGATTTTTCAAATTGTTTCTAATAATATTATAAATAAGTTACCTAAACATAAAATTATAATTGTTTGAAAAATAAATTTGATTCAAAAACACAAAATATATACAAACCGAGTTTCAATAGAAAAAACGTTATGTAGTTTGGTATATTAAGCTGAATCGGTCCGAGTTTGATTATTTTAGACCGATAAATGAAGCATTTTCCTTTCACCACATACATTTGAAACTCCCATGATTATCCAAATTGTTTATAATAATATTATAAGTTACATAATATTATATAAATATAAAAAAATCTACTTAAATATAAAATTATAATTGTTTAGAAAATCACTTTGATTCAAAAGCACGAAATATATACTCGATTATATTTTTTAAATGAATTCATTTTATAATGACATTTTGAATTATGAAAATACGTGTAAACAAACTTTCTATATTAAGTACCTAACTGAATTTATGATTTTAGGATTTAACAAAAAGTTATTCAATAAAAACTTAATTTTTTATAGCAACTTACGAGATTACTGAAAAATGGAAGTATTGAACAATAAATTTTCTCGATAACGTTTTATTTTTATTATTTATTATTTTATTTAACAAAATGAAATTATTGGCAAATAAATAAATGAGTTTAATTAAAATGTCTTCATCCCACATTGATGGTGAGAGTAACAAGAGAATGTATTCTCCTCTATAAATAGAAAATGTTGTGAAATATTTCAAAGGGACTAAGCCATGAGATCTTCCTTGCATCCAACTTTGTAGAACGTTGAGTGTATTCTTTGGTGAGATTGTCTTTATCGACAAGTGACAAATTAAATTTCAGAATGTCAAAAATGATTTTGGACCGTATCTTTTAGATTTGGATCAAGTTTAATAAGGGTCTGAGTGTCTTCTAGCTGAGTTAGGCAAACTCGCTTCCATTGGAGGCCGAGTTTAAGTAACATGCCGAGTATTTGGTTGTATTAGCTAAGTTTTACAACCCTGTATGTAATACAATTTAAAGTTGTAACCTTATAAAAGACGTCACTATTATAATATGTTCTACATAATTATGGTAATATTTATGATACTAAACATTTTTTTTTACTATTTAAGATAAAGAGTTGTCTCTATTATCATATGTTGTACATAATGATAAAATTTAAGATACATAAAAAAATATCTCTATTATTGTATTTTCTATATAATGATAATATTTAATATAAACGTTGTAATTTAATATGAAATTATTATTTAATATATAACAATAACGATTTATTTATTTTTAAAAATGATTTTTTTTTCTATTTTAATCATATAACTTTGTATATACAAAACAACTTCAAGTTCCAACTTTATCTCTTATAATATAGTTCAACATAATAACAATACTAAAAATCATTTTTTATATTTTTTATAAAATTATTATTTAAATGTTAATAACAATGATTTAATTATTTTTAATATAAAAATATATTTTTTATATGCCACGAACGCGTCCCGCTGGTTTCGCTTCCGTTTGAATGACAGAGAAGAATAGAGGTGCAGCGACGATTGAATTCACACCCAAGGCACCGCAACTCTTGAAACACCCATCGGCTGCTTCAGATTCTCTCAAAGCTTTACAGTTTAGCTTTTGTCGTTGATGCACCTTCCTTTTATTCTTATCGATCTTCCCGGTTTTCTTTTTTGTGTTACCGTCGGCTACAAGAAACTAGCTTCATCAGTTTTCCTCTGCCTATTACAAGGAAACATCGGCAATAAGGAAGATGGTCCTGCCTGTACTGTTGTTATTTAGATTTTGGGTATGTTGTCTTTCGCTTCTATTTGATTTTTAATTTCCGTCTTTTGTTGTTTTGATTTTGGGTATGTTGACCCTTGCTTTCAGTTTCTGTTCGATTGTGTCAGCATGAACACCTAGGTTAGAGCCGAATCTGTCATTCGTGTTTGGTTTAATTTCTAATTTGATGTGTTGATTAGTGTTAGCCATCGGATGTAATACAAATTATTCTTGAATGATTGATATGCAACGTGTACATACCCGGTGAAACCTAATTCCAATTCCGCTTTTCCCCCTACAGTATGTGAAGCCTCGATCACATGCCAGCATTTTAATCGATTCATACGACATTAGTTGGGTTCAAACAATTCAATTGGTTCAACGATTCATTCAACCCTCACGACTGAAGCGCTTTTATCGGCTGCAGTCTTATGTATGATTTTCTACTTCGATTTCTAAGATATTATTTGATTGACATCCGCCATTTATGATGGCCTTCAGTTTTTTTAGAAGAACAACGAAACGAAGTGAGAGGCCGGGTGCAGGAACAAGAGTCGAGTTGATTCAATTTGCCTTTATTGAGTTTACTAACTACGGTATGCTATATTGCTAATGCTAATTATATAACTTTTGTTCCTTTATTAACTATATTAAATCTGTGATTTATGTTAACATTTTTTTGTTATATAATATATTTCTCTTGCAGAAGGGGCAAGAAATGCATAGAATATTGCTTGAACTATGCTTGGTATTATCCAGTTAGGGACAACAGCCAACTTGGTGTATGTATAAACTCATTGGTTCCTAATTATTCCAGGTTCTGTCTCTCTTCTCAATTTGATCTGTTTTCTTCATCATTTATTTGTTTCTTTTGTTAATCTTCTAATCTTCGATAATGGTTTCTGGCTTTTGATTGTTAAATCAAACTAATAAGTTACTTTTTTGTTTGAATTGAACATCAGTAAATTTTTTTAATTATTTTACATTTAAGATGAGCATTTTGTCGTTGGTCCACCCATAATTTTTGTTTACTTTTTTTTCAATACTGTAAATACTAAATTACTAATACTCAGTAAATTTTTTGTATAAACTGATCAGTAAATATTGCCTTAAACTATGCCTGGTGTTGTGTTGTGTATGAATGAATGAAGCTGAAAAATGGTATGAGCTAATACTCAGCCTTGGGAGAGGCGTCGTGTACTTGGGTTCTGCAAGGATGGGCCCCGGATATGAGCATTATGTCCAGACACAAGAATTGGCAAGAGAGGCAAGTCCATATTTATATTTTTGTATTGTGTTTCAAAAGAATGAAAGTTTTGATTTTGTTAAAGGTTGCAAAGTTGTTCGGATGCACTTCATGGTTAGGGGCTGGACCAGGGTTGATGGATGCTGCAACTCGGGATGCTATTGGTCGCTGGGTTCAAGATTTCTAAAGAAGCAGGGGAATGGACAACAACCAGTTTTCATTCGTATATTCCTTCTCATGCTTACCTTACATGCAGGTTAGAATTATTAGATTAGTGACTGACTAAATCTGAATCTGAATGCATGTTTTTTTCTGCAAGCAAGCATGGGTTGATGGATGCAACCGTTAGAAGTAGTAAAGGGGAGAAGACGGGTCTGATTGTGTTACTAGGTGGAATTGGTACTCTGGATGAGGCTTTTGACATTCTTCCACTCATCCAGTTCAAGAGGATAGGTTTTGCACTCCCTGTTCCTTTTGTTTTGATGAATTATGACTCCATTTATTCCAAGCTTTTATAGTTTCTGGAGGTATGTCAGGATTGGGGGACTATTTCCAAAGGAGAGGTTTCCTCCCTTTGGAAAGTATATAAAAAGGAACACAATTTTGTTACCACTGATTGGTATTCGATGTTGGGTTTAAAAAAAGTGTGTCATCAGTGGAACACAAATTTGTTACCTTTTATAATGCAACTTTTAAAGTAAAAAAATTCGAAATTACGATGTCATAATAGATTAAAATGGAAGTAAGATGCTACTGTACAAAAATGAATGGAAGTATGCTAAATCCAAAAACAAACAGTTGATGAAGCAAAGATTTTGCTACCCGGGACATCATCGAAGCCGAAAAAGTACAACCCGGTGCACCTACATGTTGTGAGATGGCTTCCTCCTTTTCAATTCAACTTTTGACTATTTTGCCCCTGTTGTGCTTTGGTGGAGTTTGACATTTCTGCTGTTGCTACATACATTTTGTAAGTATGCCATGGGTTATATGATGTTGGTATGTGGTAAGGAAAACAGGGGATATGTAAAGGAAAATAGGTTAGATTCATAACATATTTACAAAAACATGTTCCATATTTCTTGAATCCTTTAAATTAAATAACATGCCAAAATGATCGGAGCTGTTTAAATCCATCCCCGCAACGCGGGGTTAAAAAATAGTGGTTTTAACAGTTTTTGTTGAAAGTGACTATGCATACTCTTTTTCTGATTAAAAAAATAATGATTTTTATAGTTTTGACCGAAATGCCACTACATATTGTTCTTTTGGTAAAAAAATAGTGACTTTAACATTTTTTGTCCAAAATGCCCCTGTATACTTCTTTTTTATTTTTATAAAAGAAATAATGATTTCAATAGTTTGGACAAAACTGCTCCTACATACTTTTTTTTGTAAAAATGAAAAGTTATTTTAAGAGTTTTTGGGTAAAAAATTAATGATTTAATTGTTTTTGAACAAACTGCCCATGTATATAGTTTTTTTTTTGGTAAAACCTAGTGCTTTTAAGAGATTTTGATGAAAATTTCCCGTGTATATTGTTTAACAGGTTTCACATAGAAGTATTCATAAATAGTCAAAACAACTAAAAGTCTACACTAAAGATGAATGAAACAGGTACCTGTTAAAATGATTTTTGCAGACCTTTTGTTCTGATTCCAGTTTAAATGTGTCATCTTTTAACAATGGACACTTAAGATTTATGCAACTTATGATCAAATCTGTTGTGATTCCTTTAACTACTGTGGTGAAACCGAACCCTGCGGAGCAAGGTTTCCCACCTATTTTAATAGCACATATCTCAGTTAAATTTATTCTGTTCATTTAATGTTTCATATTGGACACACTTTATTATGAATACTTCTGTGTATCTCGATGGTTTATATACCTTTCCTCTTGATGTTTGATATTGGAGGCATTTTATTTGATCCGTGGAATCCGGCATCTCCATCTTATCAACCAAAGGATAAACCCATGAAGTATATTTTTCGATAAATAGTTTATCCGACAACAACAAAAATTATTCATGATGAAACAGTATTACTGCCCCATAACAATACTCAAACTATAAACAAATAGTTGATCAAATGACATTTACAAAGAACAAACAATGGAAAAAATTGTCGCATCCAACCCCTGCAACGCGGGGGTCCCCACCTAGTTCTGATTTAATATGAACAAAATTAAATCATAATGTGAACCAACTACAAAGTTGATGACAAACTCATATAATTCATAATTCGAAATGTGAACCAAAAGTAAACTCCAAGGATTTTAAAATCCCACTACCATATATTATGAACCCATGTTACAATTTTTGAAATATGAGAAATTGATTTTAATAAAAATTAAATCATAGGTTATCATTTTTCTAAATTATTTCATGAAATATAAGTTTACAACATATTTCCAAATGTTTCTAAATTAATTCAAGAAATATAAGTTTACAACTTATTTCCAAATGTAAATATTTCAATAAAACCCAATAAATAAAATCCTAGGAAATTATGATAATATTTAAGTTTTTATAAAATGTAAAGCCTAGATTTATAAAAATTAAAGAAACGCTTTTAATGATTTATCCAATACCAAGAAAAATATTCTTCTCTCACCTCTCTACCATTCAAAATTTGTCCATATGCCCTCCCCTCTCTCTCATTTCTTAAAACATATCACTACTACTCATTTG